TTCACTAGGATTCTCTCAGTAACTCCACATTTATACATATAATCAGATCTCCATATATACTTCATTTTTATGTATTTACATTCAAAAATAAAAACTGCTACTTTAAGGGGGGCAATCCAACCTAAACCCCAGAAGCAGAGATTAATTTGATGATCTGTAGAATCAAACCATATAATCTGTACTCATTATCTCTATATATCTTTTTTGCTTAAAATATATCTTAAAGGGGAATTGCTTTAAACATTCTTTGGCTCCAACTCTCTATAGTTATCTATACGATGTCACTGCAATCTCAAGAGAGTTATAATCATTTTCTTCTGAAATTGCACTATAACATAAAGGGATGCCATTTTTTAGTTTCATTACATACTTTTTTAAACTATTAAAATATGGATTTTTATTGCTTTCTGGTCTAATTTTAACATACGAGCACTGAAAGAAAAACAAGAAGTGCTCAAGCTTTACAGAGCAGGAATACTACCCAGCAGAGCTAAGTGAATAGCAGCACACATCACTTGTTTAAAAGGGACACTAAACTCAGCAGTTAAATCTTCACTAACATAAATGCAGTAGATTCTCATATCATCTCTGAATTGATGCAGACACTGGCCCCCCTTCAGGAGGGTGGCTACTTAATGTTCTCCATGGTCTCTGTGTGTTGTAAAGGACTACCGCTCCAAGCTCACTCCCGTGACTACAATCTCAATACAAATTAGTAAACTAAATGAGAGTAATCCATCATGGGAGTGAGCTTGGCGCAGTGACTACTTTACAACACACCGAGGGAAATACAACACACCGAGGGACCTTCCTCTGGAAGGACAGTGTCGGCACCAATTCAGAGATGATTTGAGGATCCACAGCCGAGTGATACACAAATAAGATACATTTCTGTTAATAGTTAGGTACTTGAATGCTTTTTGAAGACTTAAAGGAGAACTATGGGGCTAAGTCTTTTTCCCATAGTTCTCCTTAGGGTAACGGGAGGACACAAACTAGCATCCTCCCGTCACCCTAGGCTCAGTATACCGCGAGCTGTAGCTCGCGGTATACTGAGACACCGCAGTATACCGCGAGCAGCAGCTCGCGGTATACTAAGAGGCCGCAGCTGAAGCGGATCCCGACAATTGTGCCAGGATCCGCCCAGCTGCGTGACCGACAGCTGGCTCTGCCTATCTAAAGGCAGAGCCAGCTGTACCCGCCCCCTGCCGTTCCGCCAGTCAGTGCTGGCAGATCGGAGCTGGGGGAATCCAGCCCCTCCAGTCACGGCAGAGAGCCGTGGCAGGATCGAGAGGTGAGCGAACGCTGGTATGTGTTCGCTCACCTCCCCATCTACTGAGCCGACCTGTGACAGTCTTATTGTCACAGGTCGGCTAGAACTATGAGGTGAGTAAAAAGCACTCATAGACTTAAAGGAGAACTATGGGGCTAAGTCTTTTTCCCATAGTTCTCCTTAGGGTAACGGGAGGACACAAACTAGCATCCTCCCGTCACCCTAGGCTCAGTATACCGCGAGCTGTAGCTCGCGGTATACTGAGACACCGCAGTATACCGCGAGCAGCAGCTCGCGGTATACTAAGAGGCCGCAGCTGAAGCGGATCCCGACAATTGTGCCAGGATCCGCCCAGCTGCGTGACCGACAGCTGGCTCTGCCTATCTAAAGGCAGAGCCAGCTGTACCCGCCCCCTGCCGTTCCGCCAGTCAGTGCTGGCAGATCGGAGCTGGGGGAATCCAGCCCCTCCAGTCACGGCAGAGAGCCGTGGCAGGATCGAGAGGTGAGCGAACGCTGGTATGTGTTCGCTCACCTCCCCATCTACTGAGCCGACCTGTGACAGTCTTATTGTCACAGGTCGGCTAGAACTATGAGGTGAGTAAAAAGCACTCACCTCATAGTTCTCCTTTAACTCCTGAGTTTAGTGTCACTTTCATTGTGTCAGGAGTTTAAATCAGACACAAAGCTTCATGACCATGTACCCACAAGCACTGTGTGATAAACATGGGACATGATCTTTTTGGCTTTAACTGAAAAAGTCCTAGAACTGTACACTAAACAGAACTTAGAGAATTAATAGAAAGGCTGCTACATTTAAAGATCTGATAACTGTACACTGGACTAATCTTAAAACACGGTATGCATGGCAGCTGTCTTTTAAATGAGCATTCAGAACTCATACATAAAACAACTCCACATAATTCATCAAAAGATGAAAACATGGGGGTGATTTATAGAACAGAAGGAATAGATTACAAAACCAGATTATATATTCTACTGCAAGTTAAAAAAAAATATGAAAAAAGACACCAGCCAAACTTATTTTCTTTTTATAAGTTTTGGACAATATGGAGAAGGATTAGAACCTCTGCCAGGATTTACTGTGGTTTCTGTAGCCATTGATATTTTTTTTTTTTACACTTCCTTTTTGGTCACCAAAACAGGGGGTGTGCAAAATCTCTCCAATGGTGGCAGATAGAAAAAATAAAAATACATTTAAAATAGTGTGATGAATAGTTTTCATTGCCATGTCCCTGTTGGGACTATATGACTATCTCCTAATTTCACCAAGACAAAAAGTGAGGCGAAATCTCCCCACAAGGGACACAGATGGTAATGACAACCTGAGCGAGGCTATAAACCTTCCCCACCTTTACCCAAAAATAAGTTTTAGCTGGCGTTGAGCCTTAAGGTTTTTTTCTTCTTGCGGTGGAAACTTCTTAAATGAGGCATAACATATAAAAGGGAACTGTACTTTGGAATAGAATGAGAACTTTGTAACAGGCATACAATATAAAAAGGTACATCCAGGAAGATCAAGTTCAGGACAATCCCTGACAGGGTGCCTCATGAAGCATAGACTGAGACCTCATCCTCACTTCAGTCTACCTTTTAAGTATGCTGCCAGGCACCTTTGCTTTTATACATATTGATGTAAAAGCGACACCTGGCTCAGACGCAGGCCAGAGAAGCAAAATGGATCTTCTGATCAGAGGTGCCTACTTATATTCAAATTTTTTGTTTAAAAAATGTGCAGTTATGCCATAATGAGAATATGAATGAGCACGTTGTTTTGCACTCTAATTTCCAGCGCGTTGTTTGCAGGAATCAAACTGACAATTGTCAACACCTTTCTATAATGGAGGGAAACTACTCCGACACGGTTCTTAATACGGCAGTTCAAGTGAATCTTGTCTGGCCTATACTATTTCTAAAGGCAAGATTACCAGTGTTAGTCTTTAAATTAATCCCCATGGAGCCCCTGGGACTCTAAACCCAAGCTGAACATGCAGATAACATTTTTATACTCGCCATAAAATCCTTTTCTTGAGTGTCCACAGGAAGTCTTTCACCTTTGGGTTACACAAGTCAACTACAGAAATTATAGGGCAGCTCCAGGATAACCCCTTCTAGTACTAGCATGCCTCAGTTTTGTAACAAAGCAGTACCGAAAGCATAAGCAGAAACAAAGATGGGTGGGACCTGCACCCCTCAATGGACTAACAAAAGGATTTTATGTAGAGTCAAAATCCCATTTTCCTTCACGTTCATCGAGAGACACAGGCCATCTTTTAACCTTGGGACATCTAAACAAAACAGTCCAAGGGAGAGGTAGGGAACACATCAAAGCTAACTAACCAAAAACAAAGTACTTAGGACTGCCTGTAGCTCAAAAGACCTTACCAACCGAAGTAAGTATCAGATGAGGCAGCAATGTAAAACTTGAGAACATGTGAACAGAAGACCAGTTGACAGATTTGCCAATGGAAGGATATGTCCTTTAGATGAACTGGAGCTAGACAGATTTAGGGGTTTTCCTGGACTGGCCTACAGCTTGTTTGCCAGTATCCAAGCCTCCTGTAGTTGGCAGTATAACCCAAACCCCTAATGGACGAGAAAGAAATTACTTTTCCCCAAGTTGCCATTTAGGTCATCCCCCTCCAGTTACTAAGTCCTGCCCGGTCAGGCAGTCCATTCATTTCAACGTGCTAAAACACACTAAAAGTAGGTAATGTTATGATCACAATGCAGCACACACCACATGGTAGTGTGTTACCCTGCTTAGGGGTGCATATTAATGCATGTCTATTGGCAGGGTGTGTTGGTAAGCCATTAAGGCCCCGTTCACATTGAGCGATTTATCGCGCGATTTTTGTAGCGATATCGCTCATATTTCCGCACTATATCGCTCTATGTAGCTTCACCAATACATTTCAATGTAGCTGTTCACATCTCGTCGCTCAATATCGCTTGTAGCTCGTCGCTGGTAGCTTGTCGCTTCTACATGACCCTTTTTTAGAGCGATTTTGAGCGATATTGCTCCTGATTGCATACAGCCCAATAGGAAGAAGTCGCGCGACACGTCGCTCAAAGTAGCGCGATTTCCATGTCGCTCAGTGTGAATGGGGTCTAAGCATAAAATGGAACTGCAGCACGCTAACGCACTTTTGAACCAAGACTCCTTCAACTGTCAAATGGCTACTGAAGTTGTGCTTGGGCCTGGGATCCATGAGGCTCCACAGGGACAGATTGAAAGACTAATACAGGAACTTCCAGCATAGCAGGGTGTCTGCACATCACCTCTGTTACCTTACAAACATTTAGACCAGGTGAGGTTCACTTTAAAGCATATTTCCAGGATAAATGTGCATCTCCTACACCTTTCCTTAGTAAATAAGCACTGTGAACTTCCTACAGGACAAGGGTCCATGACTGTTTACAAGGGGTCTGCTGGAGATGGGGACCACTTTGTGTTACTAACTTGTGTAATCCTTATAAGACATTAGAGAAGAATAAATGGGATAATCCTGACATACTGTATGCAAAATGAAACTCATATAAACAGAAGTACCAATCCCACAGTGCAAACAAAACTCTCCCCGAAGAAAGGCTGCACACTCAGCACAACCCAACTTGCTGCCTTCTGCTTTTTTTAAATAAGCAGCCCAGTAGCAAGGCAAATGGCAGGGGTGATACATGGAACATAAAAAACACAAAAGGAACATAAAAAAACACAAAAGTAGACAAGTTTCATAACGGATTTGAGTGCTGTAATCATTTCTTCCGTTCCTGGGTACAGCGAGGACAGAACCTAGAAACACAAAAAGTTAGATAATGTTACACTTTTGTAGATATGCAATATTCTATTAAAACATTACGATACAGGTTTAAAGGGAAGCTATCCAAAACCACCAACCTCTTCACCTCCCCTTCCGGAGCACAGCCCTGTGCATGGTATTTATCCCTGGGTCTCCCTGCTGCAGAATAACACCTGGCCAAGTGACAATTTCCATCTTTAGTGGAGAGTCTGCCTACCTGTAGGTTTTGATGTATATGGTACAGACTCAGATATGTATGCTGGCTCTAAAAACAGTTTTAAAAACAGAAGTGCAGTATCTGGTCTGGTGGGAGGGTGCAGCAGTGGCTTGTGTGATGACGAAGCTTTGGTTAACAGGTGCACAAAAATTAGGATTTTGTTCGAACCGTAAAATCCTTTTCTTGGAATCCATTGAGGGACACAGCTCTGACGAATTCTGAGACATAGGGCTATCTTGTTGTCTCCAGGGGAAAATGGACACTAGGCATTCCCCTGGGTCCAGATGTCAATGACTGAGGCACTCTGTCAATTTTCCATGTCTGCATTGTGCATGGTGGACAAGGCCAAAATGGGAAGTTCCACTCAAACCAGAATCACACCCACTTCTCTTTGAGGTGCGTGACTTCTGGTGCCTTCCTGATGGTATATGTAAGCAACAGCTGTGGCATACACAACCAACTGAATTGCATCCAAATGAACCACGGTCAGAAGACTCTATAACTGAGGGGACCAGCGTTGAAGAGACAACCAAATCGCTCTGAATTCCAAGACGTTGATCAGGAGCTGAAATTCCTCCCAACTAGGTCCCCTGAACCGAGCAGTTCTCCAGGACTTCACCCCAGCCCAACACTCTGGCATCTGTTGTGAACACCTTTTCATAAATCATAAGGGAAAAGGTTTTCCTGACTCTAGTGTCATGATTGGATGCCCTCCACAGAAGGGCAAGCTTCATCTTGCTGGACAGTCAGATCCCCAGCAGATCAAGTGGCTGACCCTGTTGGAACCATACAGCCAGGATGCTGAGCAGAAGTGGCCTGGATAAAAGTGTCTTGCAAGGAGGTCATTAAGCCCAGAACCTTCACACAAAAGCAAATGGCTGGGCAACTCTTGGATTGTAAGGTACAAGCGTGAGAACAGAGACAGAAGCTTCTACAGTAGAGGCAATACCTCGGACAAGGCCATGTCCAAGTCTATGCCCAGCTATCAGCATGTTTAAGGACCCCAGATTAATGACCTTTTAAAAGGGCCGATGCATGTGGAAAGGAGCAAGCATGTACAAACTGCGTCCCAAAGGACAGAAATGGTGTCCTTGTGCTTAGAGCAAATGTCAGTATACAAATCATCTTCCTGGGCTGACTTCTCAGAGCTGGAGGCAAACCCCTTCTCTTCCTACTCCTCAGGTAGCCAGACATAGGAGAGTCACTGGGAGCAGAAAAGGAGGCCAGTTTAGGACCCTGTGGTCTGAAGTCTCAAAGAGGTTAGCCATAACAGCAGTAAACTGCTTTCTAGACAATAAGTGAGTGGGATGTTCTAGAGGGGGCAGAGAAAGACCCTGGGAGGATTCTGCTGCTACCCCACAGACTACACTGGTGCCAAAATGGGCGCCAAACACAGGGTCCAGTGACAAACACATGGCAGGCCAGCTCCAGATCTCCTGGGGCCTAGGTATAATCTGCCAAGGCTCTGCTGAGGAGATCTGAATATTTGCTGGAGCCACTTGCTGGAAGTGTCTTGATGAAGAAAAAAACCCCGAAAATAGTGAAAAGAGGGTGTATTTCTCTCAGAGAAGAGAGAAGGCATCTATCACCTAATTGCCTTAAAGGAAAAAAAAAAAAAAAAAAGGAGGGGAGGGGTTATGCAGGACTGTCCTGCAGCTTTGATTGGATACTGGCAAATCAATCACCTGATGGTGGCCACATAAATCAAGTGGTTAAAGAATTTACCTCCCTGTGATGGATTAGGAGCTTTACTCCATTACTTTTTTAGTCTTAAAAGACAGGTGCACCAACTTATCAAAACCAGCCTACTATCATTCAAAGGGTGAACAGCCAATATAAAAGACAAGCATCTGACAAACCACATATTAGGTAGTTTCATTCCCTCCCCATTCTGTTAGGACATGATGCTTTTGTAGGTGTCTGCCAGAGACAATATATTTTTGTTTTACAGAAGATGTTAGTCCCAATATATGCACAAGAAGTTGAAAACGAGGAAACTAATTTCTTGGCTTATGGGCCCACATATTTCTGAGAGCTTTTAAATTTGAATGTCATTAGCTGTTAATATGTAGGCACAGACATTGCACAGTAATCTATATTCCTGACCAAGTGTGTGAAAGCATGCTCTAACTCCCTTTCCCACACGAATAGTAAAAATTTAGTACGCACCATTTTCCTTTGGGTTTAGTGGTGAGATCCACGCACGCAAAATGAAACCACTCTATGGGACACTAGGAAATAGAACAAAAAAATATGACTATTACCTGGATGTACCATCAAGATTAACAAATAACCATAAAACTAAATCCACTCTTTCCTTTTTTTAAAAACTTAACTCAGGCAACCCCTGCTAAGCAAACAATGCTTGCCTGTCTTGCTGTACCTGTGGTTTCATCCACCAGTCCCTAGAGCACTACAGGACAAAGTAGCAATGTAGGGGCCGGCAAAACAAGCCAAAGCACAGTGGGAAACCAGGTATCTGAAACACCTGGAAGCGTGCATGTATCAGGTGATAATGTGTGATTTTTGGAAAGATTCCAACTAAAACAAAATGCTTTAACAAATATCTTGGAGAATTATAGCTGTCCTTAGCAACCAAAAGTGTAACTTTCAAATTATTATTGCAACAATTTTTTGTAAGAGTAATAAATGAATAGGACACTTACATCTGGATTGTCACAGCCAATCATCTCTCCATAGGATACCTGGTGGCACAAGCAGTAGGTGGGTTCGTTGGGGTCTACGGGCATATCAAGGACATCGGAGGGATGCACAGACAATACAGCCTCCGAGAACACTGGCCTGCAAGATGGAAAAAAAAAAGGATGCATCACAAAAGGTGTCTAGTGGATATTATCAGCATAAAAAGAGTCACTCGAGGTTTACAAATATTGCTTCAGTGACAAATCCTTAGGCCCCGTTCACACTGAGCGATTTTTGCAGCGATATCGTTCATATTTCCACGCGATATCGCTCTATGTAGCTTCTCCAATCCATTTCAATGGAGCTGTTCACATCTCGTCACTCAATATCGCTTGTAGCTTGTCGCTGGTAGCTTGTCGCTCCTACATGACCCTTTTTTTGAGCGATTTCGAGCGATATTGCTCCTGATTGCACACAGCCCAATAGGGATGTCGCGCGACAAGTCGCTCAAAATCGTGCGATTTTCATGTCGCTCAGTGTGAATGGGGCCTAATTCTATTCAATGGAAATTACATAATAAACTGCAAAACTTGTCAATACTCATTTCTGGAACAAAACTGCATTTGGGAAAATCTGTGTATGCTTTAATGATCCTTGAAAAAAACCCCCACACGAATCTGACATTAACTACGGTTACGAAGCAGTTGCTCAGCAGAGGACACAGTAATATATTGAAGACTCGAGTATACATGCATGCCCATGTAATTCCACAGCAGCTTGAGGGCAGTGCAGACAGCCATCGCCGCACGGCCCCATTGATTTCATCGGGTACCTTTTTATGCGATGTGCTGCTTTTTGCCACACGGGCGGAATCGCTACGGTAAACTGCACGATCCGCCTGTCACAACTGGGGTGTCATTACAAAAGAATGGCACCACCAATGCGATCAGCGGTGGTGTGGGACTCCGTGACCACACAGCCATCCGCATGGTTGCTGTTAACCTACTGAATATCCAAGTAGGAAAAAGAATTTAAGGCAGAATTTTTTACTAAAACTCTAGGTCTGTTGATGTGGCAGCTCGCCCATACCCCGATTCCAAAACACAGAAGGAAAGCAATGAACAACTGAGGGTGATGTCATAGGGTCATCTTGTGCTTAGCCAAGGAAATGCTCTTGCACAGTGCTGTACGTGCTCCTTAAAACATGTGTGGAGGCTACCAACCATTCAGAAACTACTACATGCATGGCTCTCCTGAACCAATGGCTTTGAGATCGCGTTCCCCACTTGGGCCGGACCATTCTCTTTGGTACACGGTGATGGCTGGGTGCATCCTCGGGGGCACTTTTTTCTTTACATAAAACATGTTGAATTTAACGATTAGTCTACCTCGTTCTTGGTTTCTCCTGGCGTTATTGAATGTGTTGAGCCATTACTTGTTTTTTTTTTATACTGGCAATTTATTTATTCCTACCATTGTATCATCACATTAGCTTATATCTTTGTTTTATAATCTTTTGAAAATAAAATCTCTGTAAAAGAACCAATGGCTTCAATAATATTGAGGCACTGAGCAAATCTGCAGATCCAGAGATATGACAAATCTATTTGCTTGTTCCAGGTCAGCGACTCAGAAAGCATTGTAGTCAGAGAAAGTTTTTGCTGGCTTCTTAGGTCAGCAAAGGCATCTGCTGACTGTTTCTGAAGGTTTTCTTTTGATTTACTTTAGGTCTGCTCTTCTATAAGCAGAAGGTAACATCCAATGCAATCATACTATACATGTCACACATCCCTCAACTTCATCCTTGTGTGTGGCCAGTGGATGAAAGTAGAGGTGCACCGAAATGGAAATTTTAAAACCGAAACAAAAATAAATAAATTTTCAGGCCGAAACCAAAAATTTTTTTTTTATCTATATTTTTTTCACATTTTTAAATATTCTATTTTAATTTTGTTATATTTATTTATGAATTCATTTTTTATTAAATATTTTTAACTTTACTTTTAGGGGCTTCGGGGAAATATCAGGGGTCTAAAACAGACCCCTGATATTTCCCTTTTAAAATAGAAGAGATCGAGGACACAAAGTCCTTAATCTTTTTCTGTATCCCGTTACAAAATGAACAGGAATCCTCTATACCGAGTGTTCCTGTTCATTGATAACATGAGGACATGGTACGTTTACTATAACTACAACTATGAATGAACAGGAGTGGATATAGATCACCTCCTGATCATTCATAATTGAGGATATAGTCGCCATACCATGTCCTCAATTATGTACAAACACTCAGCGATCACTGAGTGTTTGTACCTCACTCTCCTCTCTGACACGCTGTCACAGGAGGCTGAGCAAACGGAGCGGGGAGGAGAGCTCAGCCTCCTGTGACAGCGCTGTCTCCGCCCACACACCGGTCTGCCGGACTGTGATAGGAGGCTGAGCGGTGTGGGAGGAGAGACGCCGGCCGCTCACAGTGCTCTCCTCCCGCAGCGCTCGTCTGTCACAGTTTCTCTCCTCCCCGCTGGGACACAGAGCAGCGCCCAGCGGGGAGAAAAGAAAGCAGGGATGCGCCAATGTATCGGCAGGAAAATGGCATTTTCGGCATTATGCCAAAAGTACAATTTTCGTCTGATATGTTTTTCGGCGGCCAATATATCGGTGCATCTCTAGTTGAAAGTATTAAAGCCATTTCATCAGTACAGCTAGGCATCTGCCATTTCCAACAAGAGGTCAGGAATAGCACCCTCCACATTTCCCTCTGTAAAGGAGCGCATTTGTTTTTTGCATGTTACATTGCTAAGTATTTTACGTTATGTGCTTTGCTGCTCTCAACATCTCCTTACCCTCCTTTCAATTTCTTCTTCTTTACAGTGTCCTCCTCTGATACTCTACGGCCCCGGGAACCTCGCTTGTCTTTCTGTGATCGATTCTCTGTGAAACAAAGGAAATATACAGACTAAGCCATCTTACAGGTGTGCTATAAAACAAAAAAAAGGGCCACATAAAAATAAAAAAAGGATTATTTAAAAAACTTTAATAAAAAATGTACTTTTTATTCCACGTCCAGATGGGCTGTCAAACTCTGTTCCTTCCAATTTTTCTTTGAGGTCAGCTTCAAATCGTGCCAGGTCTGCATCCAGCCGCCTGATGTGTTTATCTACCTTTAAAAGGGAAATGAAGATTTGTAATTGGGAGCCGGTTGGGCGATTGATCAAATAAGCATCCAAAGCACCCCCAGTTTCCATGCACGCAACACCGTCACTTGAACACTAGTGCCTTTCAGAAACTAGTTTCTTATAATAAATTTTTTATTGACCAATAGGCTTCACTTCCTTAAAGTGTAACTAAAGCCAAAAACTTTTTTTTAGTCTTGAATAGAATGGAAAGGGATTTGAACACTTGCCAGGGAGATTCACCCCTCTCTTTTTGTCCTGGTGACTATTATCACTAAAAGTGAAAGAAAATCCTACATTTTGGGTTGTAGTCAGAAAGGGAATACATGGGAGAAACTTTTACTTCATGTTGGGCTAACAAACAGGAAGAGAAAGGAAATCTAACCAATGGGACACAGATGGCAAAAATAAGCTGCAGGCTATAAACCCTCCCCAAAAAGGAGCCCATACACCTTATGAATATCGGCAGATTTTTCACATGTAATCGCGCTTTCATCCGATATTCGTAAAGTTGATGGGCAGTGGACAATTTCACATACTGTACAAATCGATCTACTTTTGCCTAACCAGCACGTTAGAAAACTTTGGTCGATCATACGATTTTCGCAAGGTTGGTGGCGTTTCTGTAAATAAAAATTTGTACGATTTACACTGCACATGCGCAAACAGAAATACGTGCGCGCGATTACAGCAATTCATCTAGGTGCTTTTTTTAAAATTACTGCCGAATGAACCTTGCGATAAATCGGGGCAGGATGGGGCCGCCGTGCAAAATACGTACGACGGTTCGATCATCTGACCGAAAAGTTTAGTCCGATGATCGCAAGGTGTATGGGCAGCTTTACGCTATCCAAAAAGTTTTGGCTTTGGTTGTACTTAAACATCTGAGCTAAGCCCTGCCAATAAGTGCCCAAGTGGTCAATAAGGGCCCTCAGGCAAGAAGACATCTTGTGTGGTCTGCTCAAAGGAAGGGCTTTTACTTGACAATGGCGGACAGGTTCCCGCTAATAAAACAAATGATAAAAATAAAGAAGAATATCAGAACTCCAACAACCACAGCACTGTAGCTGCACTGCTCAGCTACTTACCATCTCATAGGTCTGCATGGCTAACTGCACTTTATCGTCGCTGTACTCCTTGCATTTGCTGTAGGCATTTTGGATGCGCTGTAAATGTTGTACTCTCTGTTCAGGGGTAAAGTCTCGCACTTTGCTTATGTATTCGCTGGCCAACGCATCAATCTCTTTCTTTTTATCTGTTTCAAAGAAAGAAAAATCTTCAGATGATCAGAAGGGATAAAGCCGAAGACATCACCACACATGCCAATATACCTTGGATTTTGGCTAGCAAAGCAAACCTCCGTTCTGCCCAATATCATACACCACAATAAGCTGGTGGTTACCCTCACTAGCCAGAAAAGCTCATCTATCCACTTCTGTGGCCAAAGTGTATCTAAACCCAAGAACATAAAATATTATATGTTTCTGCTTACCAGTCCATAGGCCCCGTTCCCACTTCAGTACTCAAAATGCATGCTGCACATACAGTTCCATTGTTTGTTAATGGCACAGCAAACAAGACAAAATCAACACATGTGCAAAGTTCATGTCTCATACTGCTGCATTCGTCTCACATAGGGCAGCCCATTGAAATGAATGAGCTGCCCTAAGCTGACGCACAACAAATGCAGCAAGTGTGAACGGGGCCTTAGTAGTAGTGGCTGCATCAATTTTCTTTTTTCAGGCTTTTTAAATCAGAACTCTGGGGGAAATATGATTAACCCTTGCAGTGCCGGGGCAGACCCACTGCAAGCTGATCATTTGTCTGGGGAAAGTAGAACTGTTATATTCACACGAACCTTGGAGCTGGCTTGCTTCACACCACTCCATCCAGAGTCTCTCCCCCTCCGCTGCAGCGGTCTAAGGATTCTCCAGTCATCACATCCAATACAGTGTGTATTGGGCGTGATCCTTCGCTGTCACAGCCGGCTGGCTCCAAGGTTCAAGTGAGTATAATGCTTTTATTTTAGTCCCTAGACAAGAACGAGCACTTAAAGGAGAACTATGAGGCGAGTGCTTTCACTCACCTCATAGTTCTAGCCGACCTGTGACAATGAGACTGTCACAGGTCGGCTCAGTAGATCGGGAAGTGAGCGAACACATACCGGCGTTCACTCACCTATCGATCCTGTCACGGCTCTCTGCCGTGACAGGGGAGGGACTGGATTCCCCTCTCCGATCTGCCAGCGCTGACTGGCGGAACGCTTCAGCGTCTCAGTATACTGCGAGCTGTAGCTCGCGGTATACGTAGCTTAGGGTGACGGGAGGACACTTGTTTGTGCCCTCCTGTTACCCTTAGGAGAACTATGGGGAAAAGCCTTGACCCCATAGTTCTCCTTTAATCCTTGCAGTTTGGGGGTAACCCTGCGGCAAGGGTTAATATCTTTCTTCTAGTTCATATACATCTCTAGCAATATACCAAAAGGGCACAAATCAGAAAAGTTCAGAATGTCACTCGTCAGCAGCGTCTTGCTTTTTTGGGCAAAGAAACCTTGTTTCTTTAATCACTTCAGTCCCAGAGCCCCTTCACCTCACCTTTCCTCACAGGCCGAAGAACATTTGAATCATCATATTACCCATGTGCCTGTTTTGCACTAGGTCTCTGTACACTAAAGAAATATATACTGTATATCAGAAGGATTTTACATACCAAATGATCAGGGATTCCCTTCAATTACCTTTGTGATTTACACATCCTTGCCATAAAGTATAACCATATGACAACACTTTGTAGGACTAGGTTTGCAGCCCTTGTACAGCAGAGCTCAGAGGGGGGTGGGAGAAGCAGCACAATGAGCCATTTAAATGTGTGGCATTACAAAAAGCATGCTGGTAGGAGGAGAGAGCAGAGTAACAGGCATGTAAGCTTCTTAATGTGCTGCTTCTTATTTTGCTTGGGGGTGGGGAAACTGCAGTAGAAAAGGATCAGTCTGCTTCTCATGCTAAGCAGGTCTGTGGTGTGGGGCACAGCTATGCAAATCTCAGGATGGATGAACAGAAATATTTTGGCAGGTAAAACAGCTCCTCTATATGTATTTCATCTGTGTATTTAAATGCTTAAACTATTTCAGCTACAGTGCCCTTCTAACTCCCATTGCACTTTGGATACATATGCTTGTAAAAATGTTCAGTACTGTTAAATCTACCCGTGTAATACTTATGTGTTATTCAATATTTGCCGGGGGAGTTCTAAAGAACGAGAGGTTTAGAAAGTGTTCACAAAAACATTCCAAAAGGAATTGTAAAAGAACTATGGGGTAACCTTTTTATCCCATAGTTCTCTTTAGGGTCACAGGAGGACATACACTAACCTCCTCCTGTGACCCTAAGCTCAGTATATAGCAGGCTATTGCCCGTCATATACTGAGAGCACCGCAGCCGGGACAGATCCTGACAACACTGTTGAGATCCACCCAGCTGCGTGACTGACAGCAGGCTATGCCTATCTAGAGGCAATACCAACTGTGCCCGCCCCCTCCTCGTCTGTCCCTCCAGTCAGCGCTGGAGGATCAGAGCGGGGGAGAATCCCTGCAGGGAGCAGTGACTGACAGTTCGCTCACTTCCTGATCTATTGAGCCGACGTGTGACAGTTTGTCACGCGTCGGCTCGAACTATGAGGATGAGTGATTTTCATTCACCTCACAGTTCTCCTTTAACTGTGATGGGGAATACAAAATACAATTATTATAAATAACTGATGGACTAATGGAACCTCTTTTGAAGAGACCCTGTTGCTAAGCAAAATTCTCTCACTAAAGGCATACCTGTAAGAGAAGAGTGCACATACCCTCCTTACTCAATGCTCACGAAGCTAAAGGTTGCTCCGACCCTCAGAAGTGGATCCCAAAGTGTGCATGGTATCTGACACTACAAGGAGGGTTGATGATCTGGTCGGTTACTGCAGGTCTCCATGTCATCACAGGAGAAAATAATGGACATGTCCATTCCCGGCTCACTTTCAGGGGACCTTCTCTTAAATCAGAGTGGAGTATACCGGCGGTAAAGGCAAGTATACATATAGTATGCCTTCAAAGAAAGCACCTGTAATCATTTGCCAAGCTGCCAGCCACAAAGCTCTGGGGTGTTCTTGGCCTAAGTCACCCACATGAATGTACATACCCTCAGTCCTCTGATCCAGGTCACTCATGAGTTGGAAATTTCGTTGAAGCTCACACGGTAAATTTTCTATGCCTATAAAAAAAAACGTGGGTTAGCAATTTCAGCATTACTACACTCTGCATGAGAATATGAACATACTACATTTTCCCAAAATTCTGAAATGTAACTTGTATATTTTGGCATAAAATGTAAACTAGAAATGTACTGCCGGCTGTTATCTAGGCTGTAAACAAGATAGCTGAAGCGCAAATTACACACAGATAAATGACTCCGTATAATCTTCCCTCCAAATCAACATATCCAGCATTCCAAATCTGTCTACTTTTGCCAGGAACACTAGACATTTACTGAGCGGCCCCCTTTGTAGCCACCCCAGCCAGGCATTCCCATTAGGAAAGTGAATTGGCTGGACATTAAAAGGAGGAGAAGTGTAAGGAGGGGATAATATATTCTCCCTGCTGCTTCTCAGACACTGGAGTCAGGGACTAACAGTTGCCCATCCAAAGGCTACATCATTAGTGCCTTTCAGGGGGAACTCAAGTCCTAAATGCAAGATCTCATGGTAAAAACATACAACCGATAGATCATACAGCGCACACACAAGATGAAGCACATCATCTCGCGTACACTTGCTACAACATTACCTCCTTTTCCTTCTCCTCTGCCAGCCCACTGATCACATCGTGCTCCTTGACATTGTGCACTTTAAATGCCTCATTCCCCTCTGGATGATCAGCCCACAGGCCCCTCTCCCCTCTGGATGATCAGCCCATAGGCCTCCTTCCCCTCTGGATGATCAGCCCACAGGCCCCTCTCCCCTCTGGATGATCAGCCCACAGGCCTCTCTCCCCTCTGGATGATCAGCCCACAGGCCTCCTTCCCCTCTGGATGATACCTGCTGGTGCTGGAGGTGTTCTGATGTCCTTTTAGAAGCAAGCAAACCAGGGTGGCTACATTTCCACATACAGTGGGACTATGTAGAGCAGAGTTAGGGAGGCTCTGTGCTCCAGCTGTGGTGAAACTACAAATCCCATCATGCCTCTTCCTCTTGGAATCATGCTGATGGCTGCCAGAGTCTTGCAGTGTCTCATGGGTCTTGTAGTGCCACAACAGTGTCCTACCTCTTAGAAATCTGAATGTGCAGCCTAACAACACGAATATAAGGGACAAAGCTCAAGAACACTAAAGATGGTGAATATCATCTTCCCCACTGTGGCTATAGTAAGATTTTAATGTCTTGGAGAAACATATTGGGAAACACTCCCTTGTGATTGGACTTTCCTATGCCTCTCTGCTATAGGAACACAAATATATGCATATATTCCACCTCCCTATAAACAAGAGGAGGATTGCCATAATAAATAAAGTTTTCATTGCTCAAAAGGGAATTACGTAAACTCTCCTACGTCAGCACGTAGCCCTCCAAGCGGTGAGAGCGCGCTCACGGACTGGTGACGCAGTTCTAATTACACGCTCGGCTGATTCTTAGTAAAATCGTGCCCGCGCCGCGCGATAACAGCCCCATCTGCCCTACCCGTTCGCCCCTTCTAACCCCACACTTACTGTCCAGGTAGTGCTCGAGGTACATCGCAGTCGCCATGTTCACAAAGTCCGCCTGTTTCCTTCGCCAGACCTCAATCCCGCTCAACCGCTCGCTGGATTATTCATGAGCAGCGCGTTTCCGGCACGGCGGGTTGGCCGACTGCTCGATTAATATTCATAAGCCGTCCCGCGCTAGCAGCAAGCCGAAGCCGGTTTGGTTGAAAGCCACCTTCGGGTTTACAAGCTCAGTTCGCTGATTGGAGAATGCGCTGCTCGGCGCTCTCGTCTCATTGGTGGAGATCCTAATCTAGTTGGTGGGCGGTTTTCGTGCGTATATGAAAAAAAATTTTCCAGGAGGAGGGGGAAGTCGTCCCCTGGGCTTGGTTTAGAAGGCGGGGCTAGTGCTGCACGTAGCCAATTGGTTGGCTAGTAAGAGCGGCGCGTTTGACTTATTTCCGGTTCTTCTTCCGTGAAGAATTCCTCTTCTTATTATCAATAATGGCGGGACGTCGTGGGGCTTTGATTGTATTGGAGGGCGCTGACAGGGCCGGAAAGAGCACGCAGGCCAAGCGACTGGTCGAGTCATTGAAAGAGCGGGGATACCAGGCCGAAGGCATGCGCTTTCCTGGTAAGAGAAACGGCGGGAGATGGGATGTGAAGGGTGTTCACACAGCTACATGTGTCAGGATGACTGAGAACGGATTGCTTCCTGTCACCCACCAGATTCCACCTCATACTGAAATAGAATTTACTATGTCTGGAGAAGACAGAACCTGGAGCAGTTGTGCATGGCGACCAATCAGCTTCTCTCTTCAGCATGTTTAACTGTGTGTTAAAAATGAAAGCTAAATGATGATTGGTTGCCATGCACAACTGCTTCAGATTCCCCTCATTCTGAGCAGGCACGCTCTTTATTGCAGAAGAAACATGCTGTGTCCTCAAGCCCCGAGTATGTCTCATACCGCACATGCAGGAGCACATGTAAGGTGAGACCCAAGTGCTTGTTCTTGCAAAGTACAGTAGTTTATTACCTCTCTTCCCCATGAGTGCGCAGTGCTGATGGCATCAATTTAAAAAAACAAAACAATGTATTAATAATATATACTTTGTTTTTTTCCTTTCCAATACTATATTGCTTATTTTTAAATCTCATTCCTAATGTCATAAACACATCTGTATGATTCCTGATCTGGCAGAGAGAACAACTGAAATCGGGCGGCTGGTTGGCTCTTATCTTGAGAAGAAAAGTAACCTTGAAGATCACACTGTTCATCTCCTCTTCTCTGCAAACCGATGGGAACAAGTGTAAGCACAGAAGATTGCGAAGGGGGGGGTGGCAGCTACTACATGTTTGGCACGCAGAGCATCTGACACAACTAGAAGTATCGGAGGGGGTAAAAAAACTGGTTTGCTTTCAGCAGAGCCAGGTAAAGAATGACAACCAAAGTCAGCCTAGCATATGATTATGTCTACTTCAAAACTGGATGTTTGGCTTAATAGGCATGGCATAGTGACCACAGTTTCTTTTAATAATTGTGAGGGTTATTCACAAAAGGGTGTCGAGTCCGCAGAAGGCAGGAGAAGGGAACAATCTAGGACAACATAGCTGTTTGGAAAAATTCTCCAATTCAGCTCACTTTCCAGTTCAGCTATGATGTCCTAGATTGTTCACTTCTCCTGCCTTCTCCAAACTCTTCACCCTTTTGTGAATAACCCTCAGGCACAAATACTAATTGACAACTGTTAAAGGAGAACTATGGGGTCAGGGCTCTTCCCCATAGTTCTCCTTAGGGTAATGGGAGGACACAAACTAGCGTCCTCCCGTTACCCCAAGCTCGGTATACAGCAAGCTACAGCTCGCGGTATACTGAGGTGCCGGAGCGGATCCCGACATCGATGTAGAGATCCGCCCAGCTGCGTGAGTGACAGCTGGCTCTGCCTATCTAGAGGCAGAGCCAGCTGTACCCTACCCCGTCCGTTCTGCCAGTCAGCGCTGGCGGATCGGAGGGGGGAATCCAGCCTCTCCCCTGTCACGGCAGAGAGCCGTGACAGGATCGAGAAGTGAGCGAACGCCGGTATATGTTCGTTCACCTCCCGATCTGCTGAGCCGACCTGTGACAGTCTCATTGTCACAGGTCGGCTAGAACTATGAGGTGAGTGGAAAGCACTCACCGCATAGTTCTCCTTTAGGCCCCGTTCCCACTGCGCGATGTGCAAATCGCGCGTTTGTCGCGCGATTTGCATATCTGCGCGACATCGCGAGATTTGCCGCGCGATGTCGCGTTCAAGCTTGCATTGAGCAAGCTTGAATCGCGGCTAAATCCGCTCCAAAAAGGGTCCTGCTGTAGCGACACACGACCCGCGACAGCAGGACCCTTTGCCCCATTGGATTGCATTGGAGCGCGATATCGCGCGGTAATTTGCCGCGATATCGCGGGAATTACCGCGCGATAAATCGCTCAATGTGAACGGGGTCTCAATGTTGTCAATTAAAGCTGAACTCCAGGCAAGCGGATAAAACACAGATGTGGGAGCCGTTTTACTTGCCAAATAATTTTGTATTTCTGTTCATCCAGTAAGATTACATCTGTGCCACACAGCACAGCCCTGTGTGGCAGGGGAGAAGACTTGATTTTTCTCTGCTGCAGACTTTCCCCAGCCTGTGACTGCAGGGTACATGAACACAGCAGCACAACTCATTGGCTCTTTTGGTGCTGCATCACTCAATGCCACTCTGAGCTCTGCTGTGCAGAGGCTGATGGCAAGTCGAAATTGGGTACGAGCAGAGTTTCTATTAATCAATTTAAAGATGCATTAATAAGTAATGAATAGTAACAAATCTGCATTATTGGTGTATATTATATCTGCCAGGAAGTCCGCTTCAATGTTTGCCTTCTTATTCTAGTAAACCATTGCAATATTCATAGTACTAAGCCGTTATAGAATGGGGTTAAGTTGGCATCTTTTTTCTTTTTTTTTAGTCCTTTGATGAAAGAGAAGCTAAGGAGTGGTGTCACCCTAGTGGTGGACCGATATGCTTTTTCAGGGGTTGCATTCACAAGCTCCAAAAAGGTAATGTTTACAACAACAGAAATCTCAATGCCAAGTTGAATCTTGTGTTACTGTCTTGTACTGTACAAATGAAAATCAGTGTCTCAGAATAGGGGAACATGGAGCCAGCTTCCTGTGCAATCAGGAAGCAGGGCAGTGACTAATGACCCGCCTCCCGGTTTGCTGAATGGCTGGGGAGCCAGTTTCCCAAGCAATTACAATCATGCTGGCCAAACAACTCAGAGTTGGCTTCCCTGGCAATCAGGAAACCGGATAGCATGTAATTACCAGCTGCCCGGCTTCCTGGGAAGCCTGCTCCATGCCAACAGAAGCATCTGTATCGGCGAGTACCGAAAGCAAAATATCGGTCCTTGATAACAAAAAAACGGTATTGGTTATGGGCTGCTGTCCAACTTCTCTGCTTTATCAGCTTCTTTGGGGTCCCTAGGTGACATTAGGAGTCTTAAAGACCCCTGATGTCTCCATAAAGAGGACCTGTTAACTGGCTAGATATCAGATTAGTGGATGATCCTTTTGATCAAAAGTTTTTTGGGTTTTTTTTTAGTGGCTAGAGAGCGCTGCACACGATGTATGGTCTAGACTTTTTGTAATTCATCTAAGAACCTTAGAGCATTCCACAAGATCCTTTGCCACTTGCTGAGCAGATACAATAGGATCTTCATGGGAAGAAATTTCCAACACAGCAGTATGGTCATCAGACAATACCTTTTTCCCCAGTCATCTTCCAGGACAGCCATCGAGATATAGGCTCCGCCTACCTGCAACAGGAAACACATCAACCACATTAAATAAATAGACTCCTCCTTCCATCCCAAGTCAGTTTTTTTGTGTTTCCGTCGGCTACACAGGGACATCGTAATGTTTGTTATTTTAAAAGGGCTCATGTTTGTTTGCCTTAGGGCTGAGCCTTACCCTACTATGCATTGGGACCTACTCCAGGGTTACCTGCTGCAGTGCATACAGGGATTCCCTATCGGACCCCCCACCCGATTCTTGGCCAAGGTTCCCTTCCGTCATCTGTCCTGGAAGATTCCTGGAAACAGAGTTTATCAGGTAATCAACTCATGTTTTTATATATATATATATATATATCTAATGAATTTTTCCAATCACCTTTCAGGATAGCTACCTGGGAGTATCTACAAGAAGCTTAACCTACCTTAGGATGGGACCATAGCCTGTAAAGCATTCCTTCCAAAGATCTCCACTACTAGATACTTACTGGTAATGGTGTTTCCATGCATGAGTTTTCCCTCATGCACCCGGTGATGGTTCTTGCTTTTATTACACTGGATGAGGGACTTTTAACCATTTCTGGCTTGTGTTTCTTGTTGAAGTAGCCATCAAAGGAGGGGTGTTTCAGGTTTGGTTTGCAATTGCAGTTGTTTGTGGATATTATTGGACACCTGTCCCTTTGCACCCAGAGATCATCAGTCCCTGATCACAGTAATTGTTGCTTGACTGATTTTATCTGCAGCCGCTGTCAGCCTGTCATTGCTTTGTGTAGGCTGAACGGCAACAGCTATCCACATACACCTGTCATTCTAGACCGCAGGAATCCTCTGATTCCTGCCAACAGAATAGGCCCTAATTGTAGGTGTGAATAGACCATAAACATGCGCGCAAACTGAAGTAGGTCAGAGTGGTGATATCAACAGTTGGCCCTGGATTCATAAGTTGCCATTTCATGACAAATTGGAAGCAAACCATTTACAAACAAGAAAAACTTTCAATCTGCAGAATGTAAATCCATGGTTGTTTCTTTTAATACAGAATTTCTCCCTGCACTGGTGCAAGCAGCCCGATGTGGGACTTCCAAAGCCAGATATTGTCCTTTTTTTGGACATAAGTGCAGAGGCTGCAGCTAAACGTGGAGACTTTGGAAATGAGCGTTATGAGACAAGTGCTTTTCAGAAAATGGTGCAGAAACGCTATGCTGAACTGATGGAAGATAGGTCTCTTAACTGGCAGGTAAGATTAGTACATACGTTTTGAACAGTCTACGTATCAAACGTATGTACGGAGTATAAATCATTTTATATAATAGTTACCGCAGGCATGGGCTGAAGGCTGAGATCGGTTGGCCAACTGAAAACGTCATGAGCCAGCAAAGTACAGCTGGTTATAGTGGTGATTGGTATTTTCCAGGTTTTGTATGACATTTACACAAATTCACAAATACAATAGTGTGTATGTAAATATAGCGATAAACTGTTTAAAATTAACTCCATTAAAAAAACTAGAGGCCATCACCTAAAATTGGTGGAAAAGGGGGTTCTTCACAGAGCGATCAAGGTCTG